GAGAGTCTGTGAACATCTGGAAGGTAATTTCATAATGACAAAAAGTCATCCATGGATCCATGGATATAGAGGGATGGCTGTAATGGTTTAGGGGCCCAGTTCTACCATTGGGTGCGGGGAATACTAGACTCCATCACCAAAAGGGCTAGCTGGAATGCTTCTCTGTTTTATACTATCTGATGCATCATTTACTATCAATAAAGCTTATCTTACAGTAGGATGGGTGTGATGGCTTAGTGGTTAAGAGCCTTTACAGACTGGCAGAAATAGTGCAGCTTGAGGCCACTAACTGTCCTGGCTCAGTGCTAGGGAATCATGGGAATTGTATTTTTTTTTTCTGGGACATTGAGCCTTCTCTGCCAGAGAGTTCTGGTGCCACAATAAACTACAGTTTCCATGATTCCTTAGAACTGAGCCCGGACATTTAAAGTGACCTCAATTTGCACTATTTCTGGCATTCTGTAAAAGCCCTAAGACACCAATTCTGATGATTGAAAGATTGGATGGTTGGAAGTTCGAGGCCTGAATGCTGTCACTAGTCCCAGCTTCTGCCAACCTAGAAGTTCGAAAGCATGCAAATGCAAGTAGATAGACAAGTACCACTTCGGTGGGAAGGTAACAGCATTCAGTGCAGTCATGTTGGTGACATGACCACCACAGTAGTCTTTGGACAACGCTGGCTCTTTGGCTTAGTAACCAAGATGAGCACCACCCCCTACAGTCAGTTACAACTAGACATTCATGTCAAGGAACTACTTTCACCTTTACTACAGTAGGAATGTGTCAGATTTTGATACTGCACAAAGTCTTGTGGAAGCCTGGAACTGCAGCCAATTCCAGAACAGAACAGACACACTTTGGAATGTCCTGCCAGTTAATGGTGGCGGTGTGTCAAGTCATTTCTGACTTATGGCAACCCTAAAGTGAACTTATCACTGAAGTTTCTTGGCAAGGTTTTTCAGTGGGCATCTGCCTTTGTGTGCCTCTGAGGTTGAGAGATTGTGACTTGCCTAAAGTCAACCATTAGATTGCCATAGCAAAGTAGGGATTTGAACCCTGGTCTTCAGAGTAAAGTCCAACACTCAAACCACTGTACCACACTAGCTCTAGCTGACGTTAAGTGTGTATAAACATTGTTTTGTGTCTTAGCATCTTTTTATATTAAAAAAATAATAATTTCCTGACTGAGGAAACCAGCCACAGTTGTATTAGTACAGTGGTGTGATACATCCAATCTGTTTGTTTTTTGTTTTTTGTTTTTGTTTTTTTTGTATTCTGATATTATTTGTTGCCAAATACCACTCAGGAATTTCTTAGATGTAATGTAGAAAATGTTCATCTTATAAATATTGTACATAAACCAACAGTGATAGAATAAAACTCTCGCAGGTACCAATGAGAATTCTTTTCCTACACCTATTTGAAACAGGGGTTTCCAGGACCACATCAAGGGAAGGGAGAGAATAATATAGTTCTCCTCACTGTGGGCTATGGTTTCAATCTGGATCAAGGGTGACACACAACCTTAGCTTTTTATTTTTAAACCTTAACATCACTACCAGGGACACATTTAACCAATTTGTCACATCTTGCTAAAGCCTCAAGAACCATTGTACATTATTTGGTTCAAATAAGTAGTTTCTCCATAGCCTACTGTAAGGTTTCTGCTCTGCTGGAAGTACACTCTTTCTGGGGTAAGAGTGTAGAGAGATTCAAGAGAGAGACTACACACTTCCATTTTCCAGACTATATAAATTCTCAGGATCATTTCTTCATCTGGTTATTGAGGAGTTAAAAAGTAAACCCAACAATAGCTCTTAGAATCCACTGCCTTTTCTTTTTTGGCCATTAAATCCTGGGTACACCCAAGAAGCTGACTTTGGAATTTAGTGCATGTCATTTAACACAACTTATCACAGTCACATTAAATTCTGAAGCCAGCTCTTATTGCATGCACCGGGAGCCAGGTGAGTGCAACTCAGCTGTATCCCGGACCCCATCCGCACTTAGCCAGCATCTTTTAAAAACTGGGAGTTTTGCATTTTTGAAAAGATGCTGACTACAAGTGTGGCTGGAGTCTGGAACACAGCCATGTTGCAATCGCCTGGCTCCCTGTGCATGCGATAAGATCAGGCTTTAGAATTTAATATGACTGTGATAAGTTGCGTTAAATGAGGTGTGGTAAACTTCAATGTTGCTTTTGTTTTAGCTTCCTCGTTCTAAAATGGTGTCCTTCTGTTTGTTACATGCCGAGCACATGTATAAAGGTCAGAATATGATGGTTTGTGGGCAGGGGTTGTCATAGGCATTGTGCAGTAGATGTTCGTAATCAATAGTGTAATGGAGCCCACGTTTACAGGCTCAAACCACCAAAACGTTTTGATTAGCAGGGACAATATCCTCCACCATCCCACTCCAGTTCCTGTGTTCCCTCTGAGCTGAACTACAATCCCCAAAGTAGCTGTCCAGGTTGCAATGCAAAATTTTTGTGCACTGTCCAGGTTGCAATGCAAAATATTTTGGGGTGACCTGGCCTTGAAAGGGCAATTGAAGCCCATTAACTCTACAAAGGTCCTGCTGCTAATGGGATTATAAATATCAACTTTTGTGTTGATAAGAAACAATTAAAATGCTTGGATTTGGTCACACTCTCTGGGAAAGTATTTCTGGGGGCTCTCATTAAGAAAACCTATACCTAAGAACGTATCACTATAGCACTAGTTGTAATAGTTTCATAGTCACAGTCTAATAGATTGGAATGGTCCAAATGGCTAGGAAAGGAGCCACATTGTCTCAGAAATCAGGTTTGGGCATTTGGTGACAGGAAAATACATCATCCTCAGCCAGATGCATTCAGTAAGAGATGTCTACAGCCTGCAATACAAATAAGCAACAACTGCATTACATTATAAACTGATATTCAGGAAAAGCCTTTGGCTGTTTTCTATATCACACTTACTTTCTGGGGAGGAAAAGCCAGACAGAATTCCTCCATCATTCTTTTGGAAATTATAGTGTGGCAAGAAACCACAAGGGCCATCCAGTCCAACCCTCTAACATGTAAGATTACACAATCAAAGCACAGACAGCCATCCAGCCTCTGTTTAAAGACCTCCAAAGAAGACAATTCAGAGGCAGCATGTTCCACTGTCAAATGGCTCTTACCACCAGGAAATTTTTCCTAATGTTTTGGTGGAATCTCTTTTCCTGTAGCTTTAACCCATTGTTCCATGTCCTAGTCTTTAGAGCAGCAGAAAACAAGTTTGCTCCTTCTTCAACATGACATCCCTTCAAATGCTTAAACATAACTGCCATGTCACCTCTTAAGCTCCTCTTCTCTAGAATAAACATAGTTGGTTCCCTGAGTTGCTCCTCATAGGGCATGGTTTCCAGACCTTTCACCATTTGGGTCACCATCCTCTGGACACATTCCAGCTTGTCAATATCCTCCTTGAAATGTGGTGACCAGATCTGGATACAATTATTCCAGGTGATGTCTGACCAAAGCAGAATAGAATG